CATATATATCATATGGTCATCTGGCTCAAAAAGCCCCATGTTATTAGTGAGCTGATATGGACTAGCATTGACTACTTTGACTCAAATAATCATATAATCTATTATATGATTATATTATATAATGACAACAATTTGAAGAGAAATGGAGTAGCATTTGTCATTAAAGAAAATTCAAGGTCTATACAATGTTGTAAGTGATAAGGTACTATCAATATGCAAATAAGGATCTACTAATACAATTAATTATATACATCAACCACTAATTCCACATATGAAGAAACTGAGATCTTCTGCTAACTTTTGTAGTCTGAAATAGATCAAACAGGTAACCTAGATGCATTATTGATAATTGGTGTCTGGAATGCAAAAGTTGAAAACAAAGAAGGACTTAACAGTTGGACTATATGGACTTGATAACAGAAATTAGCCTGGAGATCAATTTATATAATTTTGTACAATGAGTTATTTATTCATTGCAAATACATTTTTTTAAAAAATCACATAAATGGTGACTATGCGCAAGGACATTACTTGATAGATGAGACAAGAATCAGTTGACTATGTCTGTGAAGAAAGTTGATGGAGAAACTCAATATCAGCAGTTGAAACCAGAAGAAAGGTGGATTGTGAAACAGATGACCAATTACCCTTGTGCAAGTTAAAATTGAAGGTGAAAAAAAAATTGAAGGTGAAGGATATTAAAGCAAGTCCACAATAAACTAAATATAGCCTTGAGTCTATCTCACCTAAACTTAAAAACCTTCTCATGAATAGATTTGATGCATTGAACATTAATGACTGGAGACCAGATGAATTGTGGGATAACATCAAAACTATTATTTAAGAAAAAGACTATTATTTTGTTATAGGGGAGAAAAAAAAGACCGAAATTAATGTCAGAATACTCTGCACCTTGCACTAAAACAACAAGGGGCCAAAACCAAGGGGAAGAAACACTGAAATAAGAGAGATGAGCAAATTTCAAAGGGAAAGTTGAGAAGACAAAGCAAAGTGTTATAATGAAATGTGCAAGAAAGCCACAGTTAAAAAATGAAAAGAAAAAAAAAAAGACATTAATCAAGCTGAAAGAACTGAAGAACAAATTAAAACCTTGAGTTGCAATACAGAAAGATTTGTTAGGCAAAATCTTGAATGATGCATCAAAAGAAGATAGAATGATTAAGCAGAATCCCTGTACCAAAAAGAATTGGTCAACACTGATACATTTCAGGAAGCAGCATATGATCAAGAACCAACGATAATGAAGGAAGAAGTTCAATTTGTACCTATGGCATTGGCAAAAAAGAAGACCCCAGGAATTGATGGAACATCATTTCAGGTGTTTCAGGGGAAAAAAATGCAGCCCTGGATGGTCTCACTATAACAAGTGTGTCTTTGCCAAAAATAGTGTCATGTGTAGACGTCTATACCAAGAAATCTGGAAGACAACTGCCTGATCAATTGACTGGAGGACCTCATCAGCCATGGTGAGAAGCTTGGATTTCATTCTGTGAGTGACTGGAGACTATCACAGAGTCTATCTATGAAAGAATCTCTTTGACGATTAGACTGCAGAGAGGCAGGTATGGAAGAAGAGAGACATGCTAGGTGGATATTGTAGAGCATGTGATGATGACAGGTCACTCTGAAGTAAGAACAAATGAATGGAGAGATGTGGATGGGTGCATTTTGCAGTTAAACATGGACAGGACCTCTGGGTGGATTTAATGATGAGAGAGAATGGAAAGCGAGAAGACAAAGATGACATCTAGGTCCTTGGCTTGAGCAAATGAGTGAATAGTGGTGCCAAGTAGTAAGATTAGGGTTGTAGTAAACTTGAGATTAAGTCAGACATTCTCCATTGTCCTGTACTGACCTGTGAGACAAAGAAAGCTCCAGTGAGTGTTTGCTAAACAAACAAAATCAGGTTGATTTGCTAGTTTAATCCAAGTCTTTTTGCTAATGTCTTTGAGTTTACTCTGATATGTCTTTGGTGATTCCAATCCGACCCTCTCTCTCTTCATGCCTTTCTCTCTTCTTTCTCTGATGCCTTCCTCCTTGTCTTGACAGCTGCAAAGGACCTGGTCGGGATGTGGATGTGAAGATGGCACACCCTGATTCACAAGAAATGTGGCAGCGGCCCAGTCAGGGGGAACAAGAAGGCCAAGTGTTTTACAACAGCGAGTATGGGAAGCTGTCGGAATCACACGAAGAGGGGGACTGCACCTCATCAGCCTGTGCACCCTTCTTCACAGATGATACCTACTAAGGCAGCACTGGGCAAGGCCCTCACCCCTGGTTGACTCTGGGCGCCAGCAGGTGGTGAGGGCCAGGCCAGGCAGGGCGAGTGGAATGCTGGGGCCCAGGTTGGGAATGTATCTCCTTTGGCTCAGATTACAGGGGAGCTTCCTCTCCTCTCCTTTATTCTCTCTAAGTAGGAAGATCAAACTGCAAGCTTAGGCATCTCTGAGCCCACCAAGCCCAGAGTCCCCATTTGGGTGCTCTATCCTCTCTTCCCCTTTCAGATTTATATTCCATGCAGCTCTGCACCCACAGGTATTGGTCAGGCACTTTCAAGGAAAATGTCTCTTTGATTACCTCTCCCATTACCTTTAGTAGGTGACATGGCTCCCATTTTCAGATAAGAAATATGTGGGTCTGAAAATTATACTGTAATTGAGATAGAGCTACACTTGAGCTGGGACTCCTAGTCTTGCTCAAAATTATATCCACTCCACATGAGCTCCACTTCCATGCGATGTGGCTTCCTTTGCCTGCCTGTCAGAGGAGGAAAAGGGAATGTCATGCTTCCCATCTCAAAGCAATAAATGAAGAATTTTGAGGTTCTTTTCCTGAGCCTGGTCAAACAGCTAACCATCTCAGGGTAGCCATCTACAGTGATGAACAGATTAAAGAAAGGAAAACAGCATTCCATTTACCTTGAATGTTGTAAACAAGGACAAATTGGTTTTCTCTAGATGTTCAGAAACTGTTTTAGCTGCTGTGAAGAAGTGACTTTTCAAAACTTTAGTATGAGTGAAGCCCAGAAGAACTTTCTGAATCTAGACGATTCCCGATTCAGACTCTAGGTCATGTGTCATCATAGCAGATGCTGCAGCCACCATCTCTTCCGAGTGGTCACCAGACTCACTGAGCAGCCCAGAACTTACAGAGCCAGCTGGTGGTGCAGAGCTGCCCTCTTTGAGAAACGCTTGGCTCTCCTCTCCAGGCCTTGAATCTACCACCTGAGGTCCAGTGAGCAATGCACAGCATGGTTCCTCTGAGGGAAGCTTTGGTGTTGGCACAAAAGACCCACTTGGTTTTGTTCTGTGCCACTTGGCAACCAGCAAAAGTTCTTTGTGACCTGGGGTGGCTGCATCTTCTGCCATCCCTGTGACTGTGCCAAAGTGTCCCCCGTACATGACATCAGTGTCCTGGCTGAATAACCCCTGTCCCCATATGGGAGCAGATGAGACATTCGGGGGCCAAAGCCATACTGTCCAGGCTCCCTCCAAGCTCACACTGCCTGATCACTTCCCTGGCCAGGAGAGAGACCCTTGTTCTAGTCGGGGCCCCTGCAATTGATGCCCTCACCCCAATAAATGTCCCCTTCCCCAGCAAGGCGCTTGCAGGTCAGGCGGCTGTGCAGCTGGGCGGCAGCTCGCTCAGCGGATCCTCATTCCAGAGTGTTGTTACTTCATGATCCATGGAATGCATGTAGGGCTGTACTCCTCCCTGTCCCTACGGGCCTTCATCCCTTTCCTTCTTCCTCTGCTTGTCACCTGACTTGTGACACATAGGTCTCAGGTTTACCAAATGGAAATGCAGAGAGCCATTTTCTCTCAGAGGAGCGATGTGTGTGATGGGGCTGCCCCTCTGAGAGACTACCTGAGTGGTATTACCTGCCTGTCTGTATAACCTCTCCTCGTTGTGTATTCACACACACACGTACTGGGGGAGAAGACCTACCACGCCCTTGTAAACATGTTCTCTGAAAAGATCTAAAGTATTTAACAAAAGATAATAATAAAGTTGATGCCAGTCTTTGAGTTACAATGAATGGACTCAAGTCAAAGCTTTCTGTGAAAATCGGGTTTGATTCCTTCCCTTTTCCAGATTTCCAGACTCAGGAGGCCTCAGCCCAGGAGGCAAGGTACTTGACAGGAAGTAAGTGGATGGGTGGGATTGAGTTCCTCGTTTCTCCACCTGTCAAGTGTGGGAAGGGTCCTCTAAAGCCATCTGCAGAGTGGCCATCTGAGCACTTCCCAGCCAGTACTGAGCAATCTCCTTTTACAAAATCTCTCAGCTTGGTCCTACTACCTTTTACCTATAAAGTAACAAGGCACTTTGTTCCTGCTTTTAAAAGCCGAATGTTGCCTTAGGTCCAAAACAGATGCCGCTAGCTCCTTGTGGACTTCCTCTGTCCACTGCACCATGCGGGTACCTACCGTAACCTTCATCCACAGACAAGGAAAGAGAGGTCACAGACCCAGAGGCGGGAGCGCTTGAGGTCCCCCAGTAGATTTAATGCTTGCCAGAACATGGCAGGGAGATTAGATTAGCTCTCAGCTCGCTATGCCAGAAAAGCATGCAGAGCACCCAGCGCACAGTAGAGGGCGCCGTTGCGTTGTCTGCTAGGCTCCAGGTTTTTTTTAAAAAAAAGGCAAGAAGCTGAGCTGCAATCTCGAAAATATGCGGTTCAAGGCCACCAGGGTTCAGCAGGAAAAGGATAGGCAATGTCTTCCCAGACAATTAACTGCCTCTGAAAACCTGTTGGAGGGTCAGCTATGGGTCGTTTCCGACACTATAGTACAAACAACAGGAAAGCAAGAGATAGACTTGCTGCACAAGTGAATGACTGCCATACTGGTGGCTGCAAGAGGGATGTGACACAGGTGACCTAGGCCCCGGAGAAAGAAAGAAATGACTCGCCAGGAGCGGAGGTGAGGGTGTGGGGGAGGGCTGGATGTGCCGAATCCATAGAGGATTGACGAAGCCCTGGCTTCCAGCTGGCAACAAATGAGGATGCTTCAACAATTCAAATCCTTCCAGAAGAGCTGTAGGTGAGCATTGATTGACGTTGCTGGTAAGTCTATCCATTTTCCCCTTGACACAGGAGTCTCTTATTCAGTCCTATAAGCCTTCTCGGGTCCACTCTCCTCGTTATTTCTTAGTTGTTGGAATTAATGGAAAACCTAGTAAGCAGTTCTTTACTCCTCCTCTGTCTTGCATGTGGACGTCCTGCCTGTTTTCTTATCAGTTTTTGGTAATTCCTACAACTTCTTCACCCCTGTTAAGGAGAGATCTTATGTTTAGAGTGAAGACCAAGATTTTCATTTCACCAGCCATGAAGATATTACGGCTAACCTCTCTTCAACTTGAAGATCCTGAAATGTTACCTCCAAAATTTAGAGATCTAGACAAAAAGGTTTAGGCCTCTGGGTTGCTTACATAGGCAGTGAATATAAAGCCTATTCAAACAGCTCTTTTCATTAAAGAGAAGCTTGGAAGAACACTACAAGTCCTAATCCACAATATAAACAGTCTTCCAAGTATCTTGAAAAACCTACAACCAGGAGAAGGTAAAATAGATGAATGGGATCTTCTAAGAATCAAATCCCTATGCTCATTCAAAAACTTCTGCCCATCAACAAACGAATGGATAGAGAAGCTGTGGTATATTCACACAATGGAATACTACGCTGCATTGAAAAACAAGGAACTCATGCAATATTATGCAAAATAGGTGAGCCTGGAGGACATTATGCTGAGTGAAATATCTCAGTCGCAAAAGGACAAATATTGCATGGTGCCACTGTTGTAAAATGGGATTGATATCAGGGTTGGGGTAAGACTAAGAAAAACTGGATAAGTTGTGTATACAGCACTGAAACAGATGAGGGAGTAATTTAAAAGCGATGTATGATAAGGTATTATGGTTATCACAAGAGTCCACAATTAAAGTTGCATAGTGGAATGTACTTGGGATGGTGGGAGGGGTGCGGGGGATTGTGTACCAGGAAAGGAGTGTTTCTTTTACTTTTGAAAGAGAGGAGCAAACTGGGGTGGGGGGCGGGGCTGGGCGGGGAGAGAAGTGCAGCAATGAATGAATGGAAATCCAAAATCTCTGTAAATGCTCATTAAAATTAATTTTTTTTGCTTTGTAATCAATATATTAAGGAAAAATTAGTACATTTCAAGAATTGCCTAAATTCTGATATGCAGATTTAAGCATAGGAACATTTAAAATTTAAGCATGTGGTGACTTTTAAACATACAATTAAAAGTTATGTATCATAATTTGCTATACTACCATCATTACAGATACTCTGGAGTATAATTGATTTGAAGTAAGCCTGTAACATACCTAAAGAACACCTTCCAATCTCATACATGCAAATTACTTTTCCACGTAAAAGTCTCTTCAATTCTGACTTAACCCAACTCCTATAGTCCCTACTCCGGGACTTATCATGATCCAAAGAGAAGGGGTGAATAGAAAGATGGCACAGTTGAAGGGAATGCAGTTCTGAAAGTGCGTGATCTTAAGCAGCGGTATATGGTGATAAAAGCCCTTCTTTAGCAAGGTATCACTGTCATCACTGATACCCAAGGCTAAACTATATACACATTGTGCCATTTCTTACAGTTGAGGCAGTAAGATAAATGCAGAGGTATTACAATGAATCCCATACACTACAAGTAACTGTACAAACCAACACTTCTCCACAAATTAAAATTTTCTTCTAGTTGCCAGTTTGCACAGAGTTTTAATTCCAGAGCTTAACAATTAAGGGTCATACACTAAAGTCATACATATACCTAGCATTTCAGTCTAAACTATTCCATGTGCATAGCCGAAAACAATACAATATGTGGCCTAACAAACACTAGGGGAGAAAATTTTTCCTTTTTAAACCAAAAGCTGTTTTTACAAATATTAAATTTCTCCTTACACACTGAATTCATCATACATACAGAGCAAAGTCAGAGCTTTTATATGAGTTTATTCATTTAACTTTAAAACACTACTATAGTTGAATATTAAAACAAAAACAATAGCCAAGTAGTGAGCATATTATGATTACAGTCCTTCACGTATGCACTTGCTGCATATTAAGTGCAGTGGACTCAATGGCCGCATTAAGAGGTCTGACACTGAACCCCGCCTCGTCATCCTCATATGCTTCTCCATTGTAATGGCGGCGGCGTTCCTGGTTTGGATCGAAGTCCACCAGTTCTACTTGATCCATTTCATCAGTCTCTTCT